CCTTATTCTTCGCTCGGTGCTGTATTTGTGTTGATTGCGATCACTTCAGCGCACATGAGTCTCGAAGCTACCTTGGTGAATGTACGGTTCGAATGGACGGCAGATCGCAGCGTGCGACTAAAGATCAGGGATACCACACTTACGTTCAGTACATGACATCTGAATACACGCATGATATATTACTCCAAGCTAAATAGTAGGACTACGGGCGAGAATCGGCTGTGCGGATGCTCAGAGCAAAGTAATGTGGAATAGGGCATGATCTCGTTATCATATAGCTCATCTATCATTCCCAGTGTCCCCTAGACGCGAAAGCAGATCGGAAACGTGCGCATATCGTGAAGATCGTGAAAAGGTCGGACTATCTCCTGAATTTAGGCGTTGTGCGAACTCCCTGCTCCTCCCTCCATATCCGAATCATGGCTCTCTTCTCGGAGATGTTCTCCAAGCCACGTCGGCGACCCGACTTCCTTCAATGTGTCCCTCTTCTCCTCCAAGATGAGGCTGACCGTCCGGGTCCGGAGTCGTACCCGGTTCGCCAGTTCATCTGGGCTGTGCAGCATCTGTGGGAAGCGCTGCACTTCCGCATTGTCCTGAGCGCTCTTCTCCGTTGTCTGGTTGTCCGGCTGCGAGCCTGCGCTTCCAGACTGGACGTCGAGGAATTCGCTGGGCATGAGGACGGCGCGATCGAGCGCAACAGGAAGACCACGATGTCGGCCTCGGATCATGACGGCGCAGACGATAAGCTTCGAGAGTACGTGCATGTCACCGGAGAGCGAGTAGTTGAACTGCGATCCACATGGATGAGTCGGATGAACGCATCCTATGATCGAAATCGACACTCACCCCCGGTACTCCAAGCGACAGTCCGACGGTGCCGTATGCGGAGACGAGTTCGAATACTGTACTCCGTCAACACCACGCAACATACGTGCAACGGAGATGGACATACGCAAGGCAAATATGTTGAAATACGACAGCTTGCTGGCATCTGTCAGATTGACGCGCTACGAATGCCGTTCAACACCAACCGGCGAGGTGGAAAACCGTGTGTCGGGTGCGTACCTCGATGATGCATAACAGCAAGAGGGAGATGGCTAGCCACCACATGTCTGCGATGGAATCGTGGTACAGCTGTGAAGACAGTCCGGAGGGACAAAGCGACTTACCGAAAGACAACTGTCTGCGCGCATGCCGCATCAAGTAGCGACCCCATATCTGAACCCGCGATTCGGACGGACTGTCCCAGTGAGCGTCATCGTTGATCTCGTCCTCGATATCGTCCGTTTCATAAATCCCGAGCGACTTCGCTTCGTAGACGTTCGTAGCACGGACGCTGCCCCAAAGAGGTGAGAAACTGGAGTGACCCGATTGTGTCTGATATTCTACCTCATGGCTATTGGGTAGATGGCAATGTACATCATGATGACGGAGAGCACCCTGTGGCGTATGAGGTGAGTATCGTGTGTCATCGAGAAGAGGCACGAACGTTCTTACTGTACGGCGGGGAACAGAGATGACATCGGGATAGGCTGGTACCCGGCGTTCCTACACGCCGCCGCATCGAGAAGCGCATCGACGAACTTGATGCCAAAGGGCAGGGATTCAGTGACAGGATTGCCGATGTCCAGAACCAGGTAGCCAAGCAGGTTGGTGAGGCTTGAAGAAAAAAGCATCTGCAATCGGGCCTTCGGCGAACGAACAAACGACGTACTTAAGAGCCATCATCAGGCCGAGCAGCAACCATGTCTGCCTGGAAGGGAACATGTAGATCGTGCAGCGTCGTGGGTGGTCGAGCAGAAAGTGTAGAGACTCCTTCGTTCGTGAACGGCCAGGTAGCTTCGTCATCAACCAGCTATTTTCCCTTCAGGACGTAACTCAATATGGAAAGTTTATGCAACTCACATGAACAACCGTAGGCTGGAGGCGAGTATTGCGTAGTTAGAACAATACGGAGACAGTTCCTCCTAGAAAACTCACAAGATCGGCTGGAGCATCAACCGTCAACAAGATTGGACATCAGGCAATAAACCACTACCACGTACCAGACAGGTGTTCCCAGCCAGGACGCAGATGATGACGAAGATGATCATAGGATACGCCGTCTGGAACGGCACCATGTTTTGATCTACAAGTGACATTCCTGCGGTTCGGCCTAAGTTAGACGCAGACGCCTGTCTTGCACAGAATGTTGTCACCTGTGTTCGCCCATGCTCCAACAATTTGGAAAGCCGAAAACCTACACATGCGTGAGCGATCGGTGCTGTTTGATTCCGCAAGTAGGCCTACCAAACCGGGTTGATATCCTTGTGCTGAAGAGGTGGATGGTAATTCTCTTCCCATCTCGGCAGAGACATGTAGGGAGCTGTCACTACGAATGATATAGCCAACAAACCCATGTAGTACTGACGCAAAATATTTGTAAGCGAAGAGAAAGGCGCTGAGGAACGCTACGCCTTACTGCCGGAATGACCCAAGTCAAGGAGCACAGAGCACGATATTCGACGCCGCCAAGTTCTTCGATGTTTTCGGCAGTGAGGCCGTGGAACGTAGAGTTACGTTTGACAGTCGCGCTGAAGCTCAGATAGGGCACACGTTTGACCGGCCCTTCGGAGATAGGGGCAGCGTCAGCAGTCGTCTGTGGGATGAGGGTCTCCGTCCGCGGAACGGTCAGTGTACGCTGTAGCCGACGCTGAAAGCCAGGAAACATTTTTTTGGCCGCGGAGCCCAAAACATCTTGAACTCCGGGGAACCCTCCAAAGTCATCTTCTTGACCACGTAGCTCGTTAGGCGCGGCGACGACAGAGGAGCGGAGGGAGCGGCGGCTCGCTACTGTGCCCATGAGATCGATACCGGAGGCCTCGACTGGGCGCTCCGGAGCAACCCGAGGAGCGTAAGTTCCCATAGGATCGATCGGCTTAGGGGCAATATCCAGTCGACGAATCATATCCGCTCGTACGCCGCTCCTGGTGTCGCGATTGTGACTTGGTCGCCTTGACTGGTCGGCCCTAGAACTACCCGGCATGATAGGTTCCTCATTTTCCGTCTCCTTCTCTTTCTTGAACCGAGCGAGGGTTTCGCGGATGTGCTTGATAGTCGGGTGTGCGTCCTGCAGGTTTTGAGTGGTCTGTGTTCTTCCCATCTCGGCAGAGACAATGTGTCGCAGATGGCGGAGAAAGTACCATCTACGAAACGTTAGCCACGTCGGCTGTGCGACTAGACGGTTGAAACAGTACAACCCACCGTCGTACAAGAACGACAACCCATGCAACAAAGGCCTATTGAGCGTGAGTGCCGTATCGCTCCGACCCCACCCGGGACCCGCACTTACCTGGTTTCCGATGATCTCCAGGATGACCATGATGACTTGCTGCCATATCGTGAGAGAGCTGAGGTCAACAGTGACAAGACCGGTCCCTGTGGCGCCGCTGACACATATGTACAGCGCATCGATGAACTTGACCGGGAAGACGCCGTTGCTAGCCCAAAGGATCGTTGCCCCAAGCAGAGGGCCAAAGATACTGTGGTTCCTGTTGTGAATATGTTCATATACGAGGCTCTTGAGAGATACTTACAATGCTAGCAGATGCAGTCTATAGAAAGTCATGCTGGTTCGAATGTATGGCCAGATCATGTTTGTGCGTCTTGGCTGCGTTCGAGTTTGAGCCACTGCAGACGACCCTCCAGTACCAGCACTGCGGCTGAACGCAGCCCGCGTTGGGAGTCAGAAGACTGGATGCAAAGGTTTTTGGTATCAGTAAAGAGGAAATGCTGCGGTGAAGGCTGTAATAGTATGTGCCTCTCGGCCAGTATCATGGGGAGCAACTGGGAGATTACCCCGGGCGGCGCATGCTGCCTGTGGCACCCTACAATGAATTGCCACCATCACGTGACGTACCAGAGAGTTTCATTCCGTCCAAAGGCGCTAGCATATACTATAAGCAAGGGTATATGGAAAAGTTTGATAAAAAGGGGGTGGTCGATGAAGAGTTGGCGCAAACCGGTGAGACCCTGGAGGCTTTCCTGATCGGGCTATTGATGAAGCCAATAGCTTGTGATCCTAACAAGTGCAAATATACTTTTATCAAGTGACTAAGCCTGCATTAGTCACAGCTTAGTACTTACTTCTGTCTAGGCGCTCACCTCCGAAGCTCTGGGTGTTGCCGTATACGCTACAGCACGAACTCTTGCGGCGGTATATCACACGGGGATCAGGGCTTACTCTTTTCGAAACACGTTTCTACTTCTTGTCCTCGATGCTTCGGCGCATGACAGGTGATACAGTGCAAGTAGCTCCGAATCAGGGTACTGCCAGTAGAGGACGGTGGACCACAAGTCATTTATAGCACTTAGTCTTATCGGAACCAAAGTATTAGCCCGTTGCTGTGTATTAGTCAGTCATGCTTACATCCGGATGGCCGTCGAGTTCCCGCGGATTGCTCCACCAACTAGAAGACTCGATAAATCACCGTCGGGAGAACAGAAGCCCTCTGACCATGCCTACGAACCAGCCCCACATTCATGCGGCCACTTTGGACGGCGGTATCCGACTAAAGTACCAAAATCTCGCGTAGTGCTACGGCGGAAGACTTGGTAGCTTTCTACCGAATATAAAACTCTAGGCTTATCATGCACAGGAGCTAAACACTCCTTCTGCGGTTATTTAGCACTCCATACCAGTCCTGGAAAACTTGGCCTCCAAGGTAGCAACAGTACGTATTAACTGCCTCGTTGACGGCCCGTTCTCATGGATACCAGATGCGCAGCGGGGGCATGAGGCTTGTAATTACATGAAAAACGATTTCCTCGTTGCAAAGGATCTCTTCGAGGCCCTCCGTTCTCGGAGTAAGAGTTTTAGAGACTTCATCGCGGTAATACGGGTAACCACGTTAGAAGCTGCTGCTCCGCTCTACATTCCAAACATCGGGTGCGACCGCTAAAAGTAATTCTTCTTCCCATCCAGCGCCTTTCCGATGCGCGTGTACGACGCATGTTCAAAATGACGACAGTGGGATTCGAACCCACGCCCTTTCGGACTAGATTGGCTGTACGCCTGATTCTAGCGCCTTAGACCGCTCGGCCATATCGCCATATCGGCAATCTTGGCCACATAAACCATACCGATATCGGAGTCGTGTCAAGCTCCAAGAAATAGCAGCTTTTGTTGTTTTAATATTTATCTTTAATCCATTGGCGCCAATTTGAATGATGCGAAGCGCACGCTGGAAGCGACTTCCAACTTGCACCCGACTCCACTGCCGCCGTCTGCGATGTTCTCGCGGGCGGTCATAGAAGAATACAGAACACGTTGTTCCGCCGAAAATATCGAAAAAGTACATGCGAGCCCATCTCGCGTTCAGCGCGGCCGTTCAATGGTCTCTTCTCGTTCAAGTTCCCGCATGTTGGCTGCGGAGAAATAGGACGAGGTCTGCTGATCCCGAAAGTACCTGAAAGTGCGCCAAGCGTCCGCGAACTCGGTCAGTACTATTCCACCCCACCTTCTGCTCGAAGGTCGACAGCACATAGTGTTACAAAGCCCCTGTGTTCTAGTCCCATCTGCACCTTCCTCACTCACCAATGTCCACAGTCAAGGCCAAGCACGAACACTTTGAAGAGTAGTTCGCGCATAATATACCACGACGGTCTTCTGCACTCCGTGTGAGCGAATCATTCGAGATTCGTACCTACGCCCCAGCGCATGTGGGGTTTCGGCTGCACTGGTACCTAAGTACGAACCCCGCAGGCAACCACTAACCACTGATCCTCACGTTAATCTTGTATGGGAACCGTAGCCGCGTGGAGCACGAAGCCCATACAATGCCGGCGGATGCGGGGCCGGACAATGTCATAGGCATGACTGCGTCGCTTGAGTGTCCTTGCGGATCCCATGACAGGCCCAACAGCAGCGCTCCTGGGAGGTACCTCTTCTTGTGATACGTTTCCAAGTGATTGAACTACTTTTACAGGTAAAATGCTCTTGGAACGAGCACGCTAAGGCGTGTCATTTGCCCATCGCCAGATCACCCTGCGGCATCATCGGGGCCCGTTTGGGCGACTTGTGAACATGCCCACCGAGCCGAGCATCTGCTTCGTAAGTTTAGCTCCCCTCGTGCCTTCTCGGCTTCGAAGACTTTCAAGGGGTGTTGTTGTATTTCTGGCAGGTGCTCTAGCGATGCTCGCGCGGCTATGCGTGACAATCACCGAGCATCCGAACCTCCCAGCCATCTCAATTCAGTTCGCCGCCCTGCGCTGCGGCTCCAGTTCGTGGCAATGTGACCCGCCTTCATCTCCGTTGCACGCTGCATCCAATCGTGTGATCGTCGCGGTTGGTCGTAGGTCTGTGATATCTCGTTCTTCCCATGCATACTACGGGACGAACGTAGTTGCCGTTCGAGCGGACGACGTGATGTCAGCGCTGCACGCTGCGTCGCGAGCGGGCATGAGGGGAGGAATGCTCGTGCGCAATGCGCCTATAAATTTCGCGTATGGTCAAACATTGCCGTCGAGGCTCGCCCAGTCGCCGTCCCTCACGACATGTTCATCCAATCGCTTTGCCTTCCCCTTGTTGTTGCAGGTGTCGCCCTCGCTGCCCCGCTGGACCCGCGCGCGGGGCCTACGGTTCAGCTAGATCAAGGCACCTTCGTTGGCACCACCGACGGGACGACCAACAAGTTCCTAGGGATTCCGTTTGCTAAGGCGCCGTACGTTGACACGGCTGTCATGTCCGATTTTGTGTTAAGCGGCTTCTTGCACAGGGTTGGAGACCTTCGTTTCAACCTCCCCGTCGCAGTGGATCCGTACACAGGGACCCACACTGTCACGGCGTTTGGACCCTCGTGTCCGCAACAGGCGATCAACTTCGACTTTCCTTCGGAGCTCGCTGAAGATGCCGTCAACTTCATTGTGAACTCGATCTTTCAGCTCGTGTTCCCTTCTCAGGAAGATTGTAAGTGATAGACGTCCGCTATAGTAGGGTTGGGCGGAGTCCTCACGGGTCATGCTATAGGTCTGTCCATCAATGTGATGGTCCCGGCCGGAACGAAGCCCAACGCGAAGCTGCCTGTAGTCGCCGTGAGTTCTTGCCTTGTCCGGATACTTCTGCGGCTACTGATTCTTCTTCACGTACCTAGTGGATCTTTGGTGGTACGTGACATGATTGGAAACCCCTAGACAGTGAAGATAAAACTAATGTGCATCGAAGGTGGCTTTGAGCTTGGAAGTCCCAGCATGTAAGCATCGATGACAGCTTGTTTGTGTCAGGCATTGACACGTAAGATTATAGGTACGATGGCGGCAGCATTGTGAGCAGGTCCATCAAACTTGGAGAACCAGTGATCTACGTGAGCATGAACTATCGGTGAGCATATAGTGACATGTAGGGTATGACCGACGTCGACCCTAAAGCACTATATCTAGTGTCTCTGGTAGGCATCCGATTGTCATGCTCGCCTTCTTGCACTTACGTCCTTGATAGCCTACGGTTTCCTGGCTAGCAAGGAAGTAAAAGAAGCAGGCGTAGGCAATCTGGGTCTACAAGATCGTAAGAGACACACACTCCTCCCGCCCGAGACATCGAGATTAACATAGCTTATTTGACAACAGAACGCCTCGCGCTCCACTGGATTCAAAAGTATATATCTGCGTTCGGAGGCGACCCTACAAAAGTCACTATGTACGTTCTCACCTGGTGGGGCTCCGCATCTTCATCATGTTCACGACTATGCGCTAGCTGGGGCGAGAGTGCTGGGGCGATCTCGGTCGCGCTGCATCTGATTACCAACGGCGGCGACACACAGGGCCTCTTCCGCGGCGCGTTCATGCAGTCGGGATCCCCAATCCCGGTCGGCGACATCGCACATGGACAAGCCGACTATGACAAGATCGTCTCGGAGACCGGATGCTCGGGGTCAGCAGACACCCTGAGCTGCCTGCGACAAGTGCCGTTTGACACGCTCAAGAAGGCGGTGGACGCGTCCCCGGGCATTTTTGCTCCCCAGGTAATTTCCCGGCGCTTCACGTGGTGAACCGTGTGTGCAACGAAGCTTACGGATCTTATAGTCTTTGCGGCTGGCTTGGCTTCCGCGTGTCGACGGTAAGTTCTTGACAGACGCCCCACAAAATTTGGTCCAGCAAGGCAGTGTGGCCAACGTTCCGTTCGTGACGGGAGTGCGTATGCGCCGACTCCATGGCCGAGACGATGCACTAACCGCAACCAACAGGACTGCGACGATGAAGGAACCCTGTTCTCGCTCTCGACGCTCAATGTCACGTGTGTTCATCTTCCTCCCACCAATCTTGCAGCCGTTCTCATCCTGCATCCCGTAGATCGGAGTCTGATCTACGTTCATACGTCCAAAGCAACTACCTCCCCGAGGCCTCATCGAGCGAAGTGGACCAGTTGCTGAAACTTTACCCGCAAGACATCACCTCCGGCTCGCCATTTAACACGGGGATATTGAATGCGCTCACGCCACAGTTCAAGCGTCTGGCTGCAATGCAGGGCGATTTGGTCTTCCAGGCCCCACGGCGGTTCCTGCTGCAGAACAGGGACGGGAAGCAGCCGATGTGGTCGTTCCGTAAGACGCTCTATCAATCGAGTCTATCCACGTACTCACCCGCCTTCCGCCAGTGAACAAGCGCCTGAAGGGCCTTCCTGTGTTGGGATCGGTACGTTCCCGTTGCGGACGGCGTGTTACTAGAGAAGCTCACCTCCGCATGCACAGGCACACGCCACGGACATTCTTAACGTGTACGCCGGCGGCGACATGACGAACTACCTGATCAACTTCGTGAACAACCTGGACCCGAACGGAAAGTCACTCCTCTCGTGGCCGAAGTACTCGAAGGCCTCGCCAAAGTTGTTGACGTTCCAGGACGGATTAATACCCTTGGCTGTGACCAATGACAACTTCCGGGTGGACGCGATGAATTTCATCACGCAGCTTTCACTGGCCCATCCTCTTTAGGGGCGGGGCGGTCTCCCTTTCTTGATGACTATGTAACGGTGTAGTTAGGGACAATTTACGTTGATGACGATGATCTGTCTTATCTGTATGGTAGTGGCGTGGCTCGGGCCAATGCCAATCAACGAGCGAATATGTAACGTAGGTTATTAATGTGGGCATATGTGCGAGGCATCCGCACATCCGTCTCGGTGTAGAAATGGACGACGAACGTCCCGTTAGAACGATGAATACTCAACAGCCAATAGGCGGGGGATATGATTCAAACAGTGTGGCTTACAGATACAAGCGTATGATAGCTCGATGACGGGTGGGAAAAGAAAGGGAGAGCACCAACAAATAGGCGGAGCGACGAGGGGGGTAACGGAACGAGAGGGCGTTTCTGTCCAAGCTGAGGTAGCCGCGAACGGGTCTGATTTCTTCATCCGCCTCACATCGCACCCATGGCGATGCCCTGGAACGCGGTGCCGACCCGCGCGGGCTGAGCGGGCGTGTGCGACTGAGGGGGCCCGTTCATCTGGAGGGTTTGGCTTGCGGCGAACAAAGGGTGATTCTTCTCCTCGAGGTCGGTATAGAGGACTGTCATCTCCTTGCGGGCCTTCTCCCACATCTCGGGGTCCCAGTACGAGTATGTGCCCTGCTCGCCTCCGGGCACCTTCTGTGATGGCTGCGTGCCAGTCTCTTTGGTGAGCCAGAGACGGAGCTCCTTATGGTACCGCCAATTCCGGTTGTACCTATGAATAGCCCATATTCGGTATATAATGCGAACGAGGGACTGAAGTACACGTACAGTTCCTGTGCGGCCACTTCCTGGAGAGCGTCCCTGGGAGATGCGTAGAACATGAAAAAGAGGGTCTCATCGCTGAATGCAGCAGCCTTGAGCGGCCCCGGTGGCGGTGGCTGAACGTTGTAGCATGCCGGTAAGTGGAAGTCGGGCTCCACTGTATGCGCTGCTGATGAGTCCGCCCAGGGCGTGATGAACGTTGAGTATAGGCTTCTGGAACGACGAACAGTTAGATGAAAGGGGAAGCCATCGGAAACGTGTGACATACCCAGGATTTTGCATATCCAACCCCATCGTCCCTAGGTCTGTGCCTATTGCAAGCAGACTTTGATCGGGGTCCGCG